ATTTCCCTGATGGCTAATGATGATGAACATTTTTTCATGTGTCTGTTAGCCCCCCATTTGTATGTCTTCTTTGGAGAAGTGTCTGTTCATGTCTTCTGCCCATTTTTTGACTTGATTATTTATTTTTTGGGTGTTGAGTTTGAGAAGTTCTTTATAGATCTTGGATACCAGCCCTTTATCTGTAGTGTCATTTGCAAATATCTTCTCCCATTCTGTGGGTTGCCTCTTTGTTTTTGTTGACTGTTTCCTTTGCTGTGCAGAAGCTTTTTATCTTGATGAAGTCCCAAAAGTTCATTTTTGCTTTTGTTTCACTTGCCTTTGGAGATGTATCTTGAAAGAAGTTGCTGTGGCCGATGTCAAAGAGGTTACTGCCTATGTTCTCCTCTAGGATTTTGATGGATTCCTGCCTCACATTGAGGTCTTTCATCCATTTTGAGTTTATCTTTGTGTGTGGTGTTAGAGAATGGTCGAGTTTCATTCTTCTGTATATAACTGTCCAATTTTCCCATCACCATTTGTTGCATATTTTTTCCTGCTTTATCGAAGATTATTTGACCATAGAGGTGAGGGTCCATATCTGGGCTCTCTATTCTTTTCCATTGGTCTATGTGTCTGTTTTTGTGCCAATACCATGCTGTCTTGGTGATCACTGCGTAATTCCCTTTTCTAAAGTACATTCCCACTGGTCATTTTAATGGGACCTTCTTCCCCCACTTAGGATCTCAGGGCTGGTGACTTTTTGAAGTTGGTTGGCATCCTACCCCATAGTGTCTGGGTCTCCCAGTGGCGTCCTCTGGAGCTTTTAATAAACCCACCCCTGCCTCCCCCTATTAGTGGGAGAGGCCAGAGGCCACTTCTCGCCATGAGCTGACTCACACTAACTGTCCAGTCGATGCTTTTAGCCTCTGGTCAACAGTTGCCACCCCTCAGCCTTCTCTGAGCACGTTCAAATTTCACGGACCCCTGCCTTTTCCTCGGGTTGGCTCACCCGAAATCTTCTTTCACCAGCATTTTCAGTGTCTGCACCTCGCAACCAGCGATCACTCGGAAACCTACCAAAAGCAATTAAAGGCGTCTCTTCCTTCACTTGGTGCATGTGTGTTGAGTGTCTGCCAGGTTATTCAGGCAGCTAGAAATGGTTTTTCACTGCAAGCTCACCTGGGGAAGGAAGGGAGAACGAATCCACAGATCATAAGAGGACGGCATCAGGTTTATCAGCACCCAGCCCTGCCCCTGTGTGCCGTCCCCCTCCCGTCAGGCTCTGTTCTGTGTGCAGCAAGGCTGAGCCCGGATCCACAACAGCACAGGGAATAGCTCCTGGTGCTTAAACTCTCCAGAAATGCAGCGGCGTAGGGACCACTCCCTTCTGGCAGGGTCCAAACTTCAGAATCAAGGGATGTGGCAGCAACTCCAAAGCGTTTTCTTAAAGACTCTCCCACCACACCTCCCACCCCCACCCGCACCCCCACCCCCAGGACACTACATTTAATTTTTCCCTCCAGGAAATACACAAACTGACCTCTAACGATCACTGTTCGAAATGTCTCAGGTGGTGTGGATGCATGCAACTAGCTTTACCGGCTGTTGGGTTCCCCTCTCCTCCCCCAGATTTTCTCCCTCCCAGACCATTCCTGCTTCGCTCAGGTCCACGGGGGCACGTCATGTGCAGCTGTGGCCACTTCCTCTTGTCCCAGCTCCGCCTGTGCCCAACTCTTGTCTGCTCCTTTCCCGGGAAACTGAGTAACAGAAGCCTCCCCGTTCAGAACAACCCCTGGTGCCCCCCCACCCCAGCTTCCTCCACTCCGAGTGAGGGCATGTGTGTTCAGAGCAGAGCCATGCAGGACGGGGTGAGCACCCCTTGTCCTGCTTTTAGCCTTGACCCGTAAAGGGAGGGTGTTGTACGCTTGCCAACACTGCTGAGAGAGAACAGACTGAGTTAGAGGTTAAATTAGGTTTTCTCTGTGAGGAGTTCATTCCTTGAGTCTGCAGAATAGATGGAGTCTGAAAATAAAGCACCCCATCAAATAAGATGAGGAGCACCTTGAAACTGCGGAGTGTTGTTGTCGTTGTTGTTGTTCTCCTTCCTAGCGCTTGACACAGCACTGGGCACATGGAAAACACTCAGTAAAGGCAGTGTGCCTCTCATGGCCAGGAGTCCTGGAGGTAGACGGAGCAGGCTTCGTCCCAGCCTTGCTACTCGCTAACTGAGTGGTGTTGGGCAACACGCGTGCTGGCATGGATGTCCTTTTGGTAGTATGAGGGTTTATTCAGTCATTTGACAAATATTTATTAAAGCTTAGAGTAGCATTGGCAAACACAAATAAAAAATGAATGATTTTGGAGATAAGTGAGGTAGAGCTGATAGGACCTGTTGAAGGCGGCACACGGCCATTTTGGCATCACTGGTGTATGGTTGGCAGTTGAATGTTGGGATGAAGAGAGACTTCCCAGTGGTAGAGAATCCATGGAGAGGAGAAGAGGCCCAGGCTGAGCCCCGGGTGCAGCCCACCGCCAGAAATCAGGCAGAGAGGGAAACTGAGGAAGGGGATGGGAGGAGGGCACCAGGTAAGGCTGCCGAAAGACAGAGATGCCCACCGATGCTTTTAGGCTCATTTACCACCATGGGTTCAGCAAACACAAAGAAGGACATGAAAAACATTCAACAAGAGAATTTCTTGGGGAGCCTACATTTCACTGAGGCTTTTGTAAGCCTACAATAAGTTTTCAGCTCAAGACTGCCAGAGAGCCAGGCATTCACACCATTCCTGAGATGTCACTAGTTTCGCAGGAAGCCTCCCAGGTGCCATGAGCAGGGGTCTCATGCTCCTCACCTTCGCTGCTCTGCTCCCTCAGGAAGACCAGAGTCACAGTTTAGCTAAAATTTTCTAAGCTGAAAACAAAACAACCGCCTGCCCCCCTAGCCATGGTCTACAGGGGGCTGCAAAGACCCTTGTGCTTCGATGGAGCGTGTCCACGATGTTGGTTACACCTCCCAAGCCCTGGTGTCCTCTGTGCTGATAAACCACTTTCACTTGAGGAAGAGGCTCAGCCCACGACATATTTGGGATTTGGAGATCGGCTTTCACAGCTGGAATCAGAAGTTCCAACCTAACATGTCCTTTGTGCCCCCTGTCTCCACTTCCCATTCCCATGTGGGATACTCATGGATCAAGAAAAAGAGGCTTCTCAAAATGACAGACTCAAAGTCTTGGGAAAATCTGGTTGGTTCAGATTTTTTTTTCTCTTTTTGCCCTTCTTTGTGTAGACCAGTGACTTGGGAGAAATGAGGTGGTTTTGACACAGGAGTGCCCTTTTCAAGAAGCAAGCTTGCAGGAGACATAAAATGGGAGATGAGTGATTTATGACAGGTGACCAGAAAGAAAGGACACTCTGCCTTGCCTGGCTTTGGACTGGTTTACTTACACAGTCACACCTCCCATAGGCCTCTCTGTGTGTTTTTAAAGCATATCGGTATTTAAAAGATGAAAACTGGGTAGAAGATAAGCTTGGGAAAGACCCTGAGTAAAAAGCTGTCACCACCCCCCACCCCCTGGTGTTTTTGGCCCCACGGGCGGCAGGCGGTCTGATCAGGGTGAGTGTGTTAGTAGGGCGCTCTGCATAGTCCTTCGGGATGGAAGATCAGCTGAGCAGTAGAGAAAAGAGAAGCACTTGGCCATGACTTGCAAGGGGAGGGACAAATCGCAATGGCATTACAGACTGTGTGAAATCCCCGCAGTGAGAAGACGTGGGTTTATGCACGGGCTTCCGGGGGAAACAGGGTAAGAGTGCCCAGTGCCAGCCCTTGGGTGTCCACAGGGCACCAGGCCAGTGTATACAGGGGGAGCCTGGCCCCAGCTCCTGGCTCCGCTGCTCCTGAGCAGTCTCCCCTCTCTCTCGGACTCAGTTTGCTCCTCTAGAAAATAGGGCAACATCATTTTCCTCCTAGAAATGGCTGAAGGCCAGAGGTATTATTAAGGTATGTGACTTCTCTTGACAAACTACAAAACACTGTGTACTTTTAAAAATGCTCTCCCAGACATTATTTAACCCCACAACAAGTCTATAAGAGCATCTTCGTTTTACAGGTAACTTAGCTGAGAACTGCAGACTAAAAAACCCAGTTTGTTACATTGGACATGAAGATCACAGTTCAATTTTTAAAATATCAATTTTCCTACAATTATTGAAGTAGTGGAGACATTCCTTGGGAAACCGTTGTTACGGGATGGGAGAACAAGGGATGATCCCTCTGTCCTGGCACCCCTGTGACCTCTGTCTATGACTACTCACACACACACACACACACACACACACGCATGCAAGACGGAAGACAGTTCTGTGAATCTCAGAGGCTTTTACAAAAGAGGGAAATCTTTACTTTTCTCATTGTAATGAGAATTTGAGTTCCCATTTCTTTAAGTTGCTGTTTGAGAAGAAGGTGTGTCCCTCATTTTTTCAAAACAGCTAAGTTCTGTTGAAAGAATGATTCTGTTCTTGAAACGTCTTCATGTTAAGCATTTCTCTGAGTGGTGCATTTGGAAACACGCTAGGATGTGAGTCTGTGATACAGTTTGACCATGAACAGCACAGGCCCGGACTCTGTGGGGCCGCTGATATGTGGGTAGTGCTCCATAGACAGCACAGTGCTGTGAACTTATTTTCTTTTCCGTATGATTTTCTTCATAACATTTTCTTTGCTCTAGCTTACTTTATTGCCAAAGTAGAGTATATAATACATATAATGTATAAACTGTGTGTTACTCGACTGTGTTCATGATCGGAGAGGCTTCCAAGCGACAGATGGCTATCAGTAGTTACGTTTCGGGGGAGTCAAAGTTAGATGGGGTTTTCAGCTGTGGGGAGGTCGGCACCCCAGCCCCTGCACCCGTTCAAGGGTCAACTGTGTTGTCAGAGTATTGGGGAGCAGGGAGGGGCTCCCTCAAGTAAAAAAAACATTCTATTAACTGATTTCCGTTTTTTTTTTCTGCCTCTCATTTCAGAACGGTTTGATCACCACTGTCCCTGGGTAGGCAACTGTGTGGGGAAAAGAAACTACAGATTTTTTTATATGTTTATTTTATCTCTGTCTTTTCTGACAGTCTTTATATTTGCATTCGTTATCACCCACGTCATTCTTCGTAAGTATGCTGGCGAAATCAGATTACGTATGTAACCATTTGCCTGCCTTTGGTTTTCTGATTTAATTTTGAGTTAATATTTTGATCATTTCGGGCTTTCTCTTTCTTCTCTTTTCCCTCTTCCTGTTCCTCTCCTCACTTCCAGCCTGCCCCCTTCGTGTACTCCCCTTTCTCCCTCCCTGTCACCCCTCCCTCTCCTTCCTCCCTCCCTGCCCTCCCTCTCTGTCACCCCCGCAACCTCCTTCTCTGCCCTTCTCCCTGCCTTCCACCCCCTTGTTCCTTCGACTCCCCATTTCTCATCCTTCCAGCCACAGCAGCCAGATCACCCCAGATCAGGCTGTCTTTCACTTGCCCCCGTTCCAACCTCAGTGACCTCAGTTTCTCTTTGGCTAAGGGATCCCCTGGAAGAATCATTCCCACATTTTGCACAAAGGATAATGTGCTGCGATGATAACCATCAAACAGTAGTTTTGTTTTGCTTTTAACATGATACTGGCTTCTGTAAGAACAGTCACCATCCCTAGAAAACAATGTCTGGGGATAAAGACACACACACACATTAAAGATACACAATCAAAAAGATTTCCAATCATCTGCTAAACATTAGTAAATCCCTGGCATATGAAGGAAGCAACTTTATTAAAAATGAGATTTGGATATTAAGGATTTTAATATGTATTTGCCTAAGCAAATGACATTTTTCATTTCCCATTCTGAAGGTCATAACTTTGAATTTCTTTTTTTCTCTTGGTTATCCACTCTCCAGCAACAGGGAATGATTAGAAGGAAGTGAATTGGCTTTGAACTATAAACTTACGCCTTTAAATGTCCATTCCAGTGCCATTAGCAACATTAAAGCCCAGCAGGGCCTCTTGTCCACATTCTAGAAGTACAACCGCCCATTAGCAATTGCGGAGCTCCCTTCTGCAATGTTTCTGGCAGCATCTGAACACGGCCTCACTTTCTCCCCGTGAGGCAGCGCTGAAACCACAGATGATGTGCTAAGGCTGGAGTTACTCTCTGCCTCTCTTTTGGGGGGCTGGGGGCACCTGGGGCAAGGAGGCAGTATGGAGAATTTTCCATAGATATATTGGTCAAATTTGGGTATTAAGTGGAATCTCCCAAATTTTCATGGCATTTTAAAACTTAGGTCCCTTCTTTTTGGCTGAAATCATGCCAACGTGATGCAAGCTTGGAATCTATGCTTGAAATTCAAGACTCCATGCGATCCCAAGAAGAAGACTGTTCGTTAGGGGCCCTTTCCACACTCCCCGTGGCCCTGCAGAGGCACCTCTTCCCTCTAATTTCAGAGTTGAAAAATGGCGAAAAAGCAGCCAGGGTCCCCTCTGCGTATTAATAGGCAAAAGAATCAGAAACGAGAAGAAATAAACACAGAGATTGCAGCACATTTAGGACATTAAAAAATAGTATTTAAACGTGACATTTTTAGATCATCTTTAGCAACTTCAGAATGCTTTCCTGTATGTATTATCGAAGTGTATTTATGGCCTTGCCCCTGCATCCTGGACATCAAGGGCTGGTTTTGGCTTGCACACCTGCACACGTGAGCTCTGGCAACACACACACAGACACACACGCTCACTGTGAAGCCAGCCACTGCCACCACAGTTGGATGATGTACACTTCACTTTTATCTCCCCTAAAGTTTTACTCACCCCAGTTCCAGCAAAATCGAGTTTGCTGTAGTTTATGCTAATATATTGTTAATCTCATCTTCCACAAAGAAAAGCGTTCAGAATTTATCTGCTTGCAAATTACCCGAATATGTTGAACAAAAGCAAATAAGGATTTTCCTCTCCCCTTGTTCTGCACCCCCCACAACCCCCACTAAACAACCCCCACCTACCCCCCCGACTTGGTTTGGCACTCAATGCTCTCAGGAAGGGCAGGTTTTTACATGGCTCCCGTGATCCCCTAAGATTCTGAAAACATTGGCCAAGGCTGTTTGAGAGCAGCTGGAGAACTGTCACCTGAGTTCTCCCTGCCAGGTAACAGGCTCCAGGGAGGTTGGGGGGCCATGACAGGAAGGGGGCCGGGGCAGAATCCTGTTGTAGCAAAGATTCTGAGGAACCTGACAGCTGGAACTCCTTATCAAAAATGGAAAAAGTTTGGGAAAGCGAACCAGTTTAGGTTCAGTAGGGAAAAAGAAGTCATTTCTTTCTGTGTCCTCATTTTGCCTCAAGAGTGTGTTTGCTCTAAGATCTGCCCCAGCCCACTTGCTGGTTTTGCCCCCTGACCTAGCAGAGGCAGAAGAGAAAGCCTTAAGCTTTCCTTATTCATTTTCCCACCCTTTGGCATCCTAGTGCCGGGCATATCCTTGTGCCTCAGTGGTGGCCAGTGGGGGAGACAGCACAGAGGGAATGGGACCTTGAGGCAAATGCTCAGCCTTTACATGGCCGGACCCGGTTCCCACTTACACAGAAGGGTCCGGGACCCTGCCTCTAACTGCCCCGTCTGGCCACAGCAGCCCAGAACGCCGAATCCATCCTCCCTGTTCCTCCCGTTGCTGCTCCAGGCCAGATTACGTCCCCCAAACACACAGCTTCACGCCGCACGGCAGGCACCCCCCCCAGGATGGGAGCACCAGCATTCCCTCCACGTGGGCTTTTATGTTTAAAAACCATGATGTCAACACATAAAAGAAAAATTGCTTCTTGTCAGATGCATCTTTACTCAAGCCCCTAAAGAATTTTTTTTTTTTTGCACAAACAATTCACTCCTAAAGTAGTGAGTAATAAACTCCCAACTTTATGAGTTTGTTTATTCTGGGTGCAGATAAATACGTCTTTTATACGTAGCCTAGTTTATAGGATGTCCTAGGTCAACAGTTAACAAACTTTGGAAAAACAGTCTTTCATAAGCGAAGAGGAAAAAATAGCATACAGTATTCTGTTTTCCTATTAAAATGAGGAAAACAAAGGAGTAATCAGAACTATAATTTATGGGAAAGTATGCAGACATCCATCTGCTTTTATTGAAAAAATATCCTGCAGATGTTGGGTCTAATTATGAATCTGCCATTTTCTTGTTGAATAACTTTAGTGGAATCTCAATCCCTGATCAGCAAACTGGGAGGCGTAGCACAACAAAATATAATTATTTAATTGATCTTTAGACACCTATTATTCTTATGTAGATGAGGGAGCTTTCAGCATGAGGGCTGTTTCTCTGGAGGTGAATGTTTGAATACTAAATTTTGGTTTCATTCCCACAGGTTCACAACAGACAGGATTCCTAAACGCACTTAAGGACAGTCCTGCAAGATATCCTTTGGGGTTGCCCTGTTTTCCACAATGCTAACGTGTTAAGTATTGGACTGACTTTCTATTCAACTACCCCTTCCTCCGTGCCTTGGCTTTTCTTCTCCGAAATCATATTCTCCCTTCATTCCATCCAAAAAACTCCCTATGTTTATGTGCATGAGTAGTAATGTCTGAATGCTTGAACCTGGACATGACTCGTTTAGCCATATTTAAGTTGAAGTGCTCTTTAGCTAGAAAGCCAAGTGTGAATTCTTGTTCACCCCAGAAACCTGCATTGATCCGTGTTAAATCAGATTGGTTTGGGGAGAAGGAGGGTTTGCAAGGTCCAGTGGACTTCATTTTGATGAGCAGGTGGTCCCAACAGAGTATCTATCTTTGCCCCAGTGTGGGTGGCCTTATCACTGTGAGGTCACCTGATGGGAATCATCTGACCCCCTCTGCAGATTCCCTCTGGGAGTGCCATTAGGCACACCTTCAGGCAGTCCAGATAACCTATATTATTTCCAGGAGCAGAATACCTTTTCATGATCTTCAATGGACTAACTTAACAATGGTCAATCTCAAATTCTTTGGATTAATCCCATCCTGCCAAACAGTTTATATGGGCATGTACCATAGAATTTTGAACTTCTTGAAAGAAAAATGTTCACCCATGATGTGCTTGAATGGGCTCCCCACCTCAGCTGTCCCCCTAGGTTTCACGTTCATTAGTGTAGAGTGGGCCCACTGGACCCACTGACCCGGCTCCATCTGGGACCGGCTCTCTTTCTTCTTCATATAACCAAGTAGGCTGGACTACTCCCAAAAGTAATCTTCATCGTGTGGTAGAGAATTCTTAAACAATGAATGAAGAACTTTGCTAAGATATACATATCATTTACATCATTTAGTTATAAAGATAAGCTGGCTCGTGTCCCTAGGAGCGTGTGTGTGTGTGTGTGTGTTGTGTTATTAAGATATTTGAAAACAAATGTGGTCCTGTATATATTTTCGTTCTATAAAGTATCTCCATTTTGGTACTTCTGTGTTTATAGCACAGAATGTTGGTCAAAAGTACAGATTCTTTAGTCAACTGATCTCCTAAAAAGGGGACAGGGACATATGGAAGATACACAGAGGGGACTTGAAGAATATATTTTACAGGGATGTCCTGTCTTCTATGAAGGAATCTAGGAGGCAAGAGTTGGCTAGAAGTTATCCAGAAGGAAAGGTGGTCCTGAGAACGAAATTGTCAATGTCCGTGGCTGCTAAGAACAGGTCCCATGGAAAGTGTCATTCTTCGTCCCTCTCCCCAGTGCTGTCAGCACTGACACCCTCCGCCATCATTTCCTCTGTGCCCTTCTATTTTCAGGACATGTTGCTTGGGCACATCTTACAGTCAAGCCTTGTCATTTCTTCCCAGAAAAAGAGGCTCGTCTGTCTTTCAGGAAATTGGTTACATCATGAAAACATGCTGGTCATGGGAAGTTTTATAAATGCACATTAGAACTGGAACTGAGGTCTGGGCTGCGAGCTGGCATGCTTTCTGAAGCCTCAAGAGGGTTGCAGCCTAAGCCACCGCCCCTCCTCTGTCCCTGGCACCTGTGACTTCCCAGACAGCATATGTCTGTACAGGATGCCCGTGGAGCTTTTCAGACAATGAACGGGCATCCGTGACAGGGACTCCTCTCCGTGGGGAGGGGAGGCGAAAGCCTGACCTGAGACCTGGGGGATCTCAGCGGCTCCATTCCCTGGGGACAGCAGACCCCCCCGCCTATTCCCTGGGGCTCACCTCCGTGCCACCTGTGGGCACAGCACTCCTTGTGCATGGGTCTTCTGGCTATCTATTCCAGACCTCCCAACTCATGGATCTTATCGGATCATAAGGAAGGACCAGGTAGTGAGTTCTGGATTCCTGCTTACCCTCACAATTTTAGGAGGTCTGAGGTCATTTCTTTCAACCCTTTTGTGTCTCAAGTTTTGACCTGCAAGAGTCAGCCATTCCGTACTTGACATGCTAGGGTGACAAAGTCAATTATATGGAATGTAAGTGAGAACACCCAGCACCAAAGCATCGTTTACGTGCATGACAGGAGTGATTTCGAAGAAGGTTCTTTTTGTGGCAAGATGTGCAACAGACGGTCTCTGCCAGAACATTCTCTTCGAGCACACACGTCTGCTCATTCTCATGATTTGGCTGTGCTCATGGTGTGTATAATCAAGAGCATTGTGTTCCCCAGGAAGGGGAACAGACCAATGTTGCTGGTAGAATGAGCAGCCTGCTGACTTTGCCGGAGAAACCATTCACATGGAAAGGAGAGGAGAGAGAGAAATGCTCTTACCGGGTTCCGAGCAATTTTTAGCTTATTTTCCCTCGAAATAGCATTCTCAGGTAGAGGTAAAGAGTTGTTGCTATGGCCCAGATTTGAAAACGCACAAGAATCTCAGCCACTGGCTTTCCAAATGGTGTTGCCATATGTAGGTGCTGAGGTTTGTTCTCTTTGTGGGTGTCACGCAGGCATGTCCTCCACGCTCAGGAGCTTGGCAGCCACATGACCCCGTCAGAGCCAGTGGCGACCACAGCCCGCTCTGTAAGTGCATGAGGCCAGCATGCGCCTGGCTGTATTTTGGAGGTTCCAAGCAACATAAGTTCATTGCCGTGCATTTCTATAGGTCGGAAGCCCAGCAGGCTTGGCTCATGTCTGCTCTGGGACCCACAGCACTGAAATCAACATATCACCAGCCTAGCCTCTTAGCCAGAAGCTCCGGGGAGAACCCTCTCTTGGGCTCATTTGGGGGGTTGACCATGTCCGTGGGATGTAGGACGAAGGCCCCTTTCTTTGTCCCGTTCTCTGACTCGTGACTTCCTTGCTCTTCAGAGCGAGCAACAGTGGGTCAGGTCCCTCCCACACTTTGAAGCTCTCCAGCCTCTCTCCCGCCCATCTCTCTGACCTCAGCCAGAAAGGCTCGCTGCTTTTGAAGAGTGGCCGCAACCTGAAAATTCAGGATAATCTGCCCATCTCAAGGTCTTGACCTTCAGTCTGCAACTCCCTTTTGCCATGTAGGTAATGGAGTCACGGCTGCCAAGGATTAGGACATCTCTGGGGAGGCTACCGTCCTGTCAGCCCCACAGGCCTTTGGGGAGGAAGTACCCTGGAATCAGGCACTCAAGTGCAGGTGGATTTGAGAGGATTTCTTTCTGGACCCATCCATGAAGCTCTGTAGTGGTCCGGCTCGCTTCTGAGTCTATGTCTGCCCTCCCTTCCTTTGCTGCCCTTTGTGCCACTCTAGGAGAGAGAGGGTGGGAGACAAAAGTTGTGATGGGTTAGAATCTATGTATACACACATATGTGTGGTGTGCGTGTGTGTCTACGTGGGTATCCTCTCCTGAGGCCGGATTTTGTGGCACCTCTTGATCCACTGTAAAAAGGTGACCTAGAGCTGAAGCCAGAACATCCCAGGGCAGCTACCACAGCTGACGTAAAGACTGTCTGATGTTTTCCCAGAGAAAATCAGGGACCAAGAGCAGGACCCTGGGGGAATGTGAGGGCACAACAGGCCAGTGGGGAAGAGATGGGCAGGGAGATGACAGGAGCCATCTTAGCAGCTATCCCAACCTGCATCTTCTTTACTCTTTCTGGAAGCAGTGGAGAAGTTCAGGAACATCAGACTTACCCATACCAAAAAGTGAGGTGCTGGGTTTTTTAATTACAAAGAACATAAACTGTTGGATGTGCCACTGAACAACCCCCTCCCCCCAATCGGTATGACTTACCTACAGGCTCTCTGTGCTGACGGAGTCTTCTCTGTTTTAAATACTTGCTTTGGAGAAGAATCCCTCCTTCTATTCAGTGAATCTGTTAAGAAGTGCTGAGGTCTGATGATTTATCATGAATTGGTATTCCAGGAGAGAAAGTATGCCTTAGGTTCTATGAGGTTGGGATGTGTTTTTAAAAAATATTAAGTTCTGGTTATTAGTGGTAATATATGTGTGGTAAGTCAGGCTGGATCCTATTCAGATACCTGTTCAGTATTTCTGGCTCCTGCCTTTCCTGTGGACACCTGTGTGGCTTTGGAAGTGGCGTGGGGACAGCCAGGCCGTGCGGGTGAGGGGCCGTTTTCAGCTCACAGAGAAGGGTGTGCTCACCACTGGGGCAGCTTGGAAACAACGTGGCCTGGGGCAGCAGTGACCAGGGGTGGTCACAGGGACCAGGGGTGGTCCGAAAGACAGTGGGTCGTGCCTGCCGGTGTGGGAGGAGGTTTTAGCCTCAGATCATGTTCGTACCTCCAAGCTCCCTTCCATCGCTGAGGCCCTGGGAGTTTGGGAGTCTCTTAGGAGGTGGCCGATTTCTTTTTTTTTTTTAAAGATTTTATTTATTTATTTGAGGCAGAGAGAATGAGAGAGAGAGAGCACATGAGAGGGGGGAGGGTCAGAGGGAGAAGCAGCGGGACTCGATCCCGGGACTCCAGGATCATGACCTGAGCCGAAAGCAGTCGCTTAACCAACTGAGCCACCCAGGCGCCCCGGAGGTGGTCGATTTCTGATGGATGAGACAGATCTGTGACATTTCACACTCATGGAAACTTCCCTGGCTGCTGGCCCTGCTGCCCCAGCTTGTCCTCTCCAGCGCTGCAGTCTGTGTAGAGCGAGAGTCTGTCCTGCACCAAATTCTTAAAACAAGAGGTTTTCTGGGGCGTTGCCTGAGCACAGGACCGGAGTCCCGTGTGGCTCTGCACGTGACCCGGCCGAGTGTTCTCGGGCAAGAAAATAACTCAAATTTAAAATTTTTCAGTGGCCTCCAATCTGATCTCCTGACCATGACATCAGAATATCCTGATGAGAAATCTCACGGCACAGGCAAAGGTTTTCCTCTCAGTGGATTTACTTCAAAAATCTAACCAAGAGCCATGTCGCTGATGAAATGAGAGAAATGAGAAACACAGGGCTAATTAACAACGAACCGAGACACCTTATCAGAGATACTGACACGAATGAGGGAAACACCGACCCCCTGAAGCTT